AGCGTCTATTCTTGGACACGTTGTAAAATGCTGGCAACCCTGAAGTTTGCCAGTACTGGTGGCTGGGGCAAGAGTTCATCTGTTTTAAGTGGTTTATGTGAGCACATAGAGTTTTGCAGGCCTCCATAGTCAATATAGTAGATCAAAGCCCACAACACAGCTAAAGACATCAGCCCTTGTTTCAGTCAATCCTATCTGACAGATCGTAGCTTTAAATAGTTACCATCGTAGAGGGAGTATGCCCAAATCTAGGGATCTGTTTAAATTATAAAGTTCAGTATTTTGCCGTTTGGAAAGTACAATCTGTGGTAGCGGTAGCAAATGAATTTTAAATGACCCAGAAGAATCAGTATGAAAAACATTAAACTCTTGCTTGTGGCAGTTCTACCCCAAAACTCCTAATTTAAAACACAGCCCCTTTGTCCCAGGCACAGCCTCTGGGACAGGAATTAAAAAACAAACCAAAACAAAATCTCACTTTGACTAAATTAATCCTGTAGTAATGAATTTATAACACTTTGTACCTGTCTGAGTCGCATGTGCAGGCAAAGCAGGAATAAAATCCTACTGAAAGGGAATTATCTTGACGTGCAGGCGGTATTCTGTGACCACCAGAGCCCTTAATTCTCCAAGGAGAGAAAAAAAGTCACAGAAAGGGAAGAAAATGCAGGCAAGCATAATTTGATTCCAGCCCCATTTGCACTGACTTCAGCAGAGTTATGCGACTGCACAGGATGTGAGAGTTCCTGGTTCTAAGTCTTAAGGATGGTGGAGAATACAAATAATGAAAGAGTAATATCTGGAGTTGTTCCAGTCTCAGTCACACAGCAAATATCTTCCCCACAAATAATTGAGATGTAGACCTCCTAGCAATTTTCAATGGCCACATTATAAATCATAAAGGAATTTTATGAGGCCAAAGCTGTAATAACGTGCTCTGGCTGAGCGGTAGAATAGTTATACGATCAATATGTTTTTGCACGCTCACATTTTTGAGTGGATTAGTATTGCAGCACAGTCTAAAAAGCCAGCGTAAATTTAACGGGCTGGCAGTCTTAAAAGCAGTGAAGTACAACAACAGGTATATTTATTTGTGCTGTGATGTGTAACCGGTACCTCTGTAATCCTGCAGAGATTAGGCTCGGCTTTAAAATAAGAGTATAAAATACCTGGTACAGAAGTTGAAATCATCTTAATCAACTGAAATTCAAAAGGAAAAGACAACAGGTAGCACTGCAGACATTGTGAAGAAGTAATATATTATGCCACACATTTGCAAAACCTACTTCATCTATTAGCCAGCCCTTTATTAGAGACACCATATTCAGACAAGTTGAACAGATCCTAAAACATATAAATCCCTAATACTACAAACACATCTTTTCTCAAAGTACTATAAAACCACATAGGTTTCTATTTTTCTTGCTTTTTGACATGATTGTTGTGGGATACTTAAAATTTATGAGTTCACAGAGGAGTCAAACCTTGCAGTATACCAGAACTGAAGACGATACCTCTTCTAACTATATATGCTTTACCACAAACATTAAAAACAATTACTTAGGGAATAGTCCTTTCTAGGAATTCTGAAAATGTTTTAGTTATAATTGTTATCAAGTCATTACAGAGAAGTCTGACACATTTCCTTTAATCATTCAGTACATAGCTCCATAACTCCATACACTTGAAAACTATCATTTCTCTATAAGTTTCTTCTTACATATGTGCCTATATGTACATACACACACATATATATGCACTATTTTAAAATGAGTGTCAAGAAAAGCAGGACCTTTATATTTCCACATTTTTTCCCTATGTTTGCAATACGAATGAAACTGTAGATACTACCTGTGCCATCTCCAAAAATGATGGGACCAGCTTGACTTCAAATCCTCTCCACAGACACAACAACCACTTAAGCTTTGCTTCTCCCCTTGGCATTTTTGATTCTTGCCAAAGTCAGTTTGCTCTAAGAATATATTAAGGCCGCACATTAAGTCTTCATGCAGCAAATCCTCTCCTTCTTACATTGCCTTGAAATCACCGAATCTTGCACCTGACTCAAATCCCATGCTTGCACTACTGAGCTCCTCCTCCTCCGTTTTTACCTTGCTGTGCACAAGAAAATGAGTTTGCAGCTGTGATTTTGATTAGACCTAGCTACACACAGTAACATTAAATATTTCTTATTTTTGTGCTCTTCCAGTAGTTCAAAAAAGTAGCCTAAACCTACAAGCAATGCTTACATGGTCTGATTCTATTGTGGAATGGTAAATCATCAGCAATCCCTCTGAAATCAACTAATCGAGACGTGCTAATTGCCACATCTAGAGTGCCATCAACTCACAATGGTGACAGAGGGATTTCAGGGTATTAAACATTTGAAGGACTATGCCTTAAACAGAAACCTTCCCAAAGTCATAGTACCTCCTTACAATGCTCGTTCTGTGAACTCGGAAAGCAGTAAAAGAGCCCCAAACCAGTCAAGTGTTTCAGATTTTTTTTTTTTTCTGAGATTTGTATTAGTAATTCAAGGCCCATTTCCTAAGAGTTGGGAATAAAAGCCTATCTTGGTAGCTAAAGTCACATAAGCCAAATTCTCCGGTGTAGCCACCATAGAGTAGGTGTGCATGAAGCTGGTTGGGCATTTTTTTAGGAGGACTAATGGCTTAGAAATGTGGTGTGTTGGTAGAAATACTGGGAGAATAACAGAATCTCGAGAAGTCTATAGAGCTCTGAACCCTCAGAGGGAAGCTTGAGGTGTATGCGCACAGAAATGAGTGCATCTGGAGAAAAGCAAATGTGTAGCCGGGTCCCTGGAATTACTGGAATATCTCAAATGGGAGCTGCAACCATGCAACAGGAAAACTGGGCTACCATTTGGGGAAGGCATGTTGGAGACGTGTTTTTAACGTGATGGAAAAAAGATCCCTCATGCCACAAAATCCTTGACCATTGGCCTACAAATATTTTTTTCTGTAATAAGAACTGAAAAAAGCAATGGCAGATTGTCTTCCTCTTCTCGTAATATTAATTAAGCAATTGCATTTGCTATAAGTGATAATGAGTTATAAATAACAGATATGCTAAAGCGTGAGATGCTTTGGATGTAGAGATGGTGTACTTTGACCTGGAAGGTGCCCACTATACTAACTTCTTCTAAGGGTGGATCCTGCAGCCTTAACTGACACGACCAAGCCAACAGAAAGCAAAGGGCTACTCATTTGAATAGTGGCAGCAGCAGAAGGCACCAAGTTTGGCAGTTTTGCTTTATCCCTTTCTACAAATCTGCCTTTTAAAACCAGCATGTAAATTTTGTTATGTAGCTTAAAAAAAGGAGGGGACAGAAATCAAGTCAAGTGGAAAAAAAAGGACCATATAACTAGGGCCACTGCTTCCATTTAGTGGCATGGACAGCAATAGGAATAAATAAGAATACAAAGATAGGATGAATCAGTTATGCTACACACGTGGCAATATGCCGCATTTTACTGTATTTGCTATCAAGATGACATGCAGTCTAGAACTTCGTGGCAAACACACTGGCAAAAGCCATAAACCATGAGAATAACGAGGCTTGAAGGAACAAGGCTTACAAAGACAACCCCAAGTGTGACTTTCTTAGATACCAGTAAATAAATCCCTAAAGGCAAGGAGCTGAAGTACAGCAACCCTAGCAACCACACTAGCACCCGAATTGAGGTCTGGAAGAGCAAAGATGTGCAGTTCCACACTGTCCAGTTGTGGGACACAGTTGCAACAGAGTCAAAACTCGTAGGCCTGTAAAATTCAACCACAGGGGTTGAGTTCAGAGTCTGGGGACTTTCTCTTTGTACTTCCATGATTGTTATAACCAGGCAGTTAGAAGAAGTGTGAGAAGGGCTAACCAGTGATGCCAACCTCTTGGGAGTCAGCAACAGTTCTGTTGGGTTGTCTGGTAGGCACTTCTTTCCCTTTCCCCCACAAGCTAAATTCAGGAGGATGTTGTTGTCATCAGGAAGACTACTAACCTCATCGTCTGGCAGGCACGTTTCAAACCTGCAGAACGGGCACACTATGACTCCTTGCGGGGAATCACCAAAGTCTATGATCTTGCAAAGGCATTTGGCACAAACTCTGTGACAACACTCCAGCACTTTTGGTTTTCTCTGCCGCAGGTTATAGCGGTTGTAGCAGATCTTGCACTCAAGCTCGTCTGAGCTCTGGGTCTCTACAGACTCCTCTGGCAGTTGACTGGCCATTTCTTCTGATGGTTTTTAGATGTGTGGGAAGAGAAGTCAGGGGACGAAGAGGTCACTTGGGCTTCCTTTAGAACTTTTTCCTGATGAGCATATCACCCATCTCACACAGCAAAAGAGGAGATGAGGTTGCGAAAAAGCATCAGTAGGCATCGTCCATTTTCATCTTCTGCTAGGGATGGTGCACTGCATGTCCTTTATTCTGAGCCAGGCATCCATCTGAAAAAGACGACGCAGAATTTTTATAGAAGAAACGACAAGGAAAAGCTGTAGCAGGTGAAATATGCAAGTTCCACTTTTTACAAGCTTAGCTTCCTTTGCTAAAAATACCTCTGAGGTAGTTTTTTCTACAGCATATGGGGCCTGTGTAGCAGTCATGCTGATACAACTTAGTATCTTGCTGCATGCATTCGGCTTTGGCTTGCAACTGTGACTGACTTGGCCCATGAAATTCTCAGTAGAAGCTGGAATCTAATCACTGACCTGTGACCATTCGTTTAAACCCTGGTTTCCTAAGGAAAGGAGACTTGACCCCTGGGGCTTTTCGCTTTTCTCAGTAACTTGCAAACCTGCTGTCCAACATCAAACAAATCGCCAGAGAGGAGCAGTACTGAAGACAACTAAGTTTCTAAAAAAGTAGTGGACATTGGCAGTTGGAAGAGGAAAAGAAGAAGTATTTACTGGAAAGACTCATGTGGGAACCTAGGTCAAATCGGAAAAAGAACAAGCTTTACCAATTTTACTCCTTGCAAAACATCTCATTTCTCCATCTCCATTGAGCTGCTGAACACGGATTATGAAAAAGTGCTTTGGCATGCAAGAAATGCCTCCTCTGAGGTGTGGATGCTAGGGTGAAGGCTAATGTGCCTCTCCAGAGCATCCACCAGCTTTTGAGCATTTCACAGCTGTGACAGCTGTTTCACACCTTGACTAAGGAGAAGCCCATGGCACGCGTTCCTCTTCCGCTTTTGCCACCAGACCCATCAGCTTCCCTTCAGGAAAGGTACTGTCCTATTTCATAGCCGTGTGTTATTCACGACTTCAGGAAACAGTCCGTGTATTGGAAACGAAACATTAACATACACTGCCTCTGGGCAGTGACAATTACCAGCGTTTACAAAACCAGCTCCGTCGGCCAGAGGATAAAGCTTTCCAAGATTCAGGCATATGCTGGCTCACAGAGATGGGTGCGGCATCGCGTTTTGCAGGCTTTCAGACTCGCTCCTTCGCAGCTAGAAAGCTGCCACAGTCAAATGATGGGACTCAGCTTGTGTCCAGCTGCATCTTGCTTTATCAATAAGTATTGGGCACAAGGAACATGAAAAAGTGGCCTATTTCAATAAACTTATTTCTTGACTCTTAGTTTTAGTAGATGTCCAGTTCTTTTCCCTTCTCCCTGGGAAGTTTTTGCTCACAGCTAGAATTCAGATCTCTGTCCCCTCTTTTTAAATTTTTTTTTTGTGAGAACAAGGCAGGAAGTTCTCTCTTTTAAGCAATGTGCTCCTTTTGTCAAAACATTTTACCTGCCAGCCATCAGGAACAGTGAAGTCTCTTTCATGGGCCTCTTGTTCCTGCTGTGCTTTAAGGATTTGCCATTCTCTCAACTTGCTGCACAATATAGCTTCTATAAGTCAAAGGTTTTTAAAACTCACCTCTCAGGTTTTAAAACAAAGATGTCATAGTTCAGACAATGCGGTAATAAAAAAATATAGTGAAAAAACATAATGAGGAAGAAAACGTATGTCTCTGAGAATTTAACTGATATGGCCCCCTCCCCATTCAATGTTCTTAACTGTTTTTCCACTTCTTCCGACTTATTTTTTTAGTGCTTTATAAGTTGTTATCTCTGCCTTACTGTTGTTTTTGTTATTTATACTGAGACAATATTTGTGGTGTGGTCCATTAGACAAGACAAACACAAGGAGGTTGATACATAATTGTCAGAGTCTACAAGCTAAATGTCTTAAATGAACCAAAAAAGTAAGTCTTCTGCAGATCTTATAACCTGTCCTTTATCCTTTGTTACAGTGTGCTTCCTTATTCATTTCCAAGATTCATTCCAAGTATCATCTTCTAAATCACTTCTAGGCACATATAAATGTCATGAGCTGCTAACTTTCCGAAGCATGAAGAAACCACAGAGTGGACCTGAAAAAAGTGAAATAACAGCCTGTAAGAAGGCAAAGAACCATGGAGAAGTTAAGAAGCCAAACAAAACAAGTGATGGTTTTGAAGTTTTACATCTTAAGTATCATTCATCTTCTGTACCTGAGGTGAATTAGGATTGCTAACACGTTCACGCTTCACTGCCAAGGCTGGCAAACATAGTCCTATGACAGAAAACCAGATTTCTGACTAACCACAAGTCTTCCAGAAAATGTGTCTGCTTCTCATGGGAAGTTGTGACCTTTCTCTGAAAACTGCCAACTAGAAAATTTTTGTATTTTGGTATCTAGCTTTCCAATGAATATTTTTAGGTGAATGTTTTCAGGTTCTCACCAGAAAAGCACCCACTTTCCAACCAATTATATTCAGATATGAATTACTTCTGCCTCAATCAGCTTTCAAATTGAAAGTATTTTCCTGATTCTATCCCCTTTATGTCGCCAAATTTAGCATTAAGACAAGAAGTAACAAGTCTCTGGGACTAGCAATGCCCCAGTTGCTAAATTGGGACCATGAGCTTCATTTCCAGAATACAATGATCCTCCTATTGTAGTTTCTGTCATTTTTAAACCTTTTTTTTTTTTTTTATGTACTGCACAAGAAAGAGCTACTTTCATCATCTTTCTCTCTTCACAGAACCCCCTCAAAATATATCCATCAGTAATAAGAAACCATTGGTTGTTTTTTACCTGGGCTGAGTTTAAATGTTGAATTTCTTATGTGTTCTGGTGTGATTACTGCTAACTACTGTTCTTCATTTACACATCTTTTCCTTTGAAAATCAAAAATTAATCACTAATTCCTATTAATGCTACTCATACATTTTTTACCTTCTCAGATCTGTGATGGTTTTAGATGCTTCCTCTGTCTTGTTTGCACTCCTGATTTCATAGGCAATTTTCTATTTTGCCTTTTCAATACCCACTATCCTGCTCATTTTTTCTCGCCGAGAACGGACACCTTTTTGAGCTTAATTAAATGTTGCCCTAAAACACCACATATACTAGAAAGTTCTCTGATCAGAGACTTATTAAAAATACAAGAAAACAGGATTTTAAAGAAGTTTGACTTCAAATTAGCCCTACTTCATGAGAAAATGAGACACTTCTTGAGAAATATGGCCAGATGCTCTTTCAAGCAACTTCTACTGTCTGTCAAAGATTTTCTAGCTTGTCTTTTGCAGGTGGATATTCACTGGAAGCAGGCAGAAAAAGCAATTATAGTTGGGAGCACATTAGCTGCTGCCCTTCTGAATCCTGGTTCCCTACCAAAAAAGTGGCAATTCACATATTTCTGCTTGCTGCGTGTTGAAAGCAAGAGAAGCTGCAGAAAAAAGGCAGTGCATCTGGGTGTTTGCTTTTTATCCTCCTCTTCGAGTCACTTTTTAATGATACCATGAGAAGGTACATCCCGGTTATACGCACTAATACTCCATTAATGATTGGGCTTTCTTAAATATTGGGCTGCAGTCTGACCTTGACATCCAGAGAGCAGCGAAGTAAAAGTTCCTGAGTGCAAATCCCATGATGAGCATAAGATCTTTCACTTCAAGTACAATATTGCTATTGACTCAAGACCAAAGCAAGGTCTCCTGTCTATTCTTATAGCATGATGTTTATTAATTCTGATATTTTTCATCATTCTAAACTATTCCTTATGTCCAGTTTTTCACTTTACCTAACTGATTTTTAGATAGAGGTGTCTCACCTCCTAGTTTGATACCAAAAGATGTGGGTTGTAACCAGGGAAATTTCAGTTAGATATCAGGAAAAAAAAATAAAATTCACAAGGTGTTCAAACACCAGAAGAGATGCCGAAAGAGGTGGATGTGAAGTCTCCAACCTTACAGATATAGAAAATTTGACTAGATGCAATCCTGTTCAGGCTGCTTTACCTTGGAACTTGGCCCTACTTTGAGCAAAAGGGACTGAGCCCTTCCTGGAGATTCCTTCCAACACAAATTACTCTATGATTCTGTGTTTCAATATTGTGAGCTCACTTTATGTGGTCTGTTTGAGAAGCTTTGTCCCTTACTGAAGAATACATCAGGCCGACAGGTACTTATGTAGCTAAACATCTCTCCTAGATAATAATTCTTTCATTTAATATATATATTTATTTTTACAAGGAAGTCTAGACACCTTCTGCTAGTCTGTCTTCCACAGAACCTATCTGATGGGACCAACACAATCCAATCACAGATTTTTTCATTCCTGCGTCTATTATGTGGTGCACAGCAGCTTTCCAAACAGAATACAAACTACTAGACATGTACAATAACAACAGCATCCACTGCAGTTTATCCAGGAACAATCACATCTGTTACGCTATGACAAGCACTTGCTTTTTTTCTAAGAGTCCTGTCTAAGCACTGCAGGAGCGAATCCATCATTCCTGGTCACGTCACGTTCCTGCTGCTGCTTGAGCTCTGACTCCCTCTCTCCTCCTTCCCAGTGCCACCCATCCTGTACCTTGCAAACTCCTCTACTGACCCTTTCGCTAGGAAGGAAGAAAAGCTGAGAACAGATAGACGCCTTCTGGATGGCAGATGATCACCAGCAAGTCTCCATGATGCTCCAGCTGATTCCTGGAGGACAGGGGGGATATCCTCCCTTGGGAACAAGAGGTGGCTGCCCACAGAACCAGACTGAGTAAATAATAGCGAGCCCCTGCGTGTGACTCCAGGCACAGCCAGACCGAATGCAATGGGCTTACAACAGCCCCAGGAGGCCACTGTCCATCGGTCAGTCTTCTACCAGTCGCTGCTGGGTTGCAGATGCAGATCATGAGCTTTCATCCCAGGCACGGAGAGAAAGGTGAAAGGGTTGTGCAACATG